GCAACTCGGATTCAATATCGTGCATCTATTAATTCCTAAAAGCCGAACGTGTCGAGCTCACGTAGCTCGCTAAATGGTTTTAAAATGATCACATTACATCGCAATAGATTCTTTCCACGCGCATAAGAAACATCCTTCAAAATTACGAGAATTGCATCGCGTTCATCTCTACATTTTTAATATTCATTGTGATGTAGAGGCGTGCAAAGTTGCAATGCGTTTCTGTTGGTTGAAATCTAACCGGAGGGAGACTTTATCAGAAATGCAAAAATTGATCAAATTACGAGACTTAATAAATCAGGTGAGTTTATCATAACTTATTTTAATGCTCTTAAAAATAAATTAATTTTATTAATTATTTTTTAATTCATTAGGACATTGTTCCAAAGATCATCCGGTAAGTAATTATATATTTTGATTACTATATAACTTTACCTTGTTTTTAAACTTATTATGTTGATTTTTTTTCTTTTATTAGTATATAATTGAAGAATATAATGAAGCATCTGGTTGTCCTGATTGTAATATTTTAGTCATCAATTAACTGGATAGGTTCAGAATTTGTCATGTATTAAAATGAAAGTTTAATGTATAACAAAAATATATATTATAAATTTTGGATTTTAATAATAAAGAAATCTTTTGATTTCCGTAACGTAAATAATATAAATTTGATTGCACTTATTTATCAAAAATGAAAGCAACCGAGATTTATCATCAATTTCTTGAGCAGTTTACTGTAATAATGATTATTGTAAGCGATTGAATTATCGATCAATATCTTAGCTTTTTATTGAATTAAATATAATGAAGCAATAATCTGGACTCAGTCCAAACCCAGTTTAAGATATCAGTCTTTGATTGAATCCGGTCCGTCCTGGCCGTCCATGTATCAGGACCGATAAGCCCTAGGACTTTAACTGGACTGTAACAGATTTTCTCACCCTATTATGGATTACGCAATTGTGATTCGGTAAATAGATAATTTGTACAACAAACTAAATGGCAAAGAGGTATAATATTGGTTGAAATAACATAAGTTACATGCCTAAGAAAAAAATAATATTTAGGGTTTATTTTTTTTCATTAACTGTTAATAAGAATCGAAAAGTGTATTATGCTAAAATATTGTCTGCCGTCAGTCATGGAAGATGCCACATCGTCCAAAACTTAGAAACTAATGTGAAATGACCATTGATTGAGAACATTTCCCATTCAAAACTTTGATTAATAGTCTATGTACATGTCCTAATCACTGTTTTTCGTTACCTTTTTAACGTACTACGAAAGCTAAAACATAATTTTAACGATGCTAAGATATGTTGATCTAATAAAGATTCTTTTAAACCGACAAAAAGTTTAACAAACCGAAAAATATTAACACATTGTAGAAATAATTTAGCTATAACCTCTTTTTAGGTGTTTTCAATTTTTGGAATTTGCAGCTGAACTTCCTTGCAAACCGTTTAAGGGATAGGGGAAGCCCGTAATACCTTAACTATTACGAAGAATGAGGTTCTGGAGTTTGCTTTTTAGAAATCGGGACATGTTCATAGACTGTTAAGACGAAGTAAAAGCTTAGATTGAATCTGAGTGTGTCCGGAAATATCGAGATTCGAAAAACTCGTTGTAACTGAAATTGATTTATATAAGCTAGATGTTGCACTTTTACACTATACGACGAAAAAAAAAGAAGAGAAATGAGAGAACCCTAGAAATCAATCGATGAAATTTTATTTTCCGAGTTTAATAATCATCTCGATATTTTCAGTTGTTGTTACTCCACATTATATAAAAGAAGTTTGCTGTAATATAGAATATGATAGAGATTTAGCCAATATAGCGTTCCGTGTAGTTGTAGATTTTCATTAACTGGTGCTATATTGTTTAAGTTGTTTTCTACTTTTATGAAACAATACGAAATAAACTTATTCAGATAACACGATAATTTTTCATCATCTTTTTGATATACTACGGAAACCAAACCAAAATTTTAACGATATCTAAGACATTTTGATCTTATCCCTTAAGCAGTAGCGGAAAATTTTAAAGATCAAAAACTTTCTAAATGTGTATATAACTCTCACAATAAATCGTTTCTACACGTTATTACAGTGGTTTATTATTTTTCAGTTGCCGTTTAAGGGATAAATTAACAAAAGTAAACCGCTTTAGAGATACAATGAGGTGAAACACTTTATTCATAGCCAGGACGCATCTTTCAATCTTTCATGTTTCAGAGATAGTGACACATATATACAGTACATGATACAATATATAGCGAATCTAACTATCTAACTATTCCTTTGTAAAAAAATCTATCATTACGTTAAAAAAATAAAATGTTTGATCTAAAATCACATGAATAGGGATAACTACCACATTTAGTAGGAATTATACGGTTTTTTATGTAAGATTTTTAACGTTTGAAATGCAGGGTTGTGATTCGTACACTTAATGAAATAACAAAGTTGGTAAAACCCTCCTCTGGCCTCTTCGTGAGTTGTACGAAATCACAACCCTGCTGAAACGCACCTTCTACACAGGGAAAAAGAAAGTGAGATTTGATTATGTGCGTATTAATTCTTCAGAAGTCAGAACTTTGATTAACAAGCTTCATTCGGAATTCGGAATTTACCAAATTTGATTTTTTTTACACTTGTGAACGAAATTTCTCTTAAAACTTGTAAGAGTGATTTGTTGGAATTAAATGGATACTTCAAACTTTGTTAAATCCCAAAACCCGTTTCCCGTTTTAGCGGGTCGCCCATTTATTGAAATTAAATTCGTTACTAGACGGTACGGCACTGGAAGCCACGCAGCTTTTGCTGCATAATCGGGGCAATTCCTGTAGCTTAGGTTGACAAATCCATCCACAATGATTTGGCATTTGTATCTCTTCAAAACTTTCATTTTCTGCAAAATTCAACAAGATTTTGATCATATCAGCAACAGCTAATTCATCTAAATATTTGATATTTAGATTTCATCTGATGCATAATTATACAAACATTTATATAATCTGAAATCAATCAATTTGCCAATAAATTTGTCTAATTGATTTGTGAAGATATTACGTTCATCATTTTCATGACTCTTGATGTCATTATCTGGACCAATATATACATAAGAATGGAATTATTTTGAGCCCTTCTAATTCACTAAGATTTGATTATTTAATTCTTTTAATATATATTCAAATAATAGTAAGGTTTCTTTTCTTGATAGAGTCCAGGAGACTCCTCCATACCGATCATACTGGGAATGCTGAATTTTCACATATAAAAGAGTGCATGAATATTACCCAAATTTTCCATTACTAGTTTAAATTGGCTGAATAGCACAAGAATTGCAATATTGTCAGTATGCACAGTATATTATATTTTCTTGAGTTTCAACCATTTTTCATCTCTAATAAAATTATTTTTTATTAAAAATTTAACGTTACAGTATGTAAAATTTAATTGTAGAGCATATTATATACATATTATCAAAAAAAAATTGTCTCCAAAACCGTTCCCTACAAAAATAAAAAAAAAGAAATGTTATAACGTTTCTTTACTAGGTTATTCACAAACTCCCCCATCGTTACTTACCCAAGGTCTCCAAGACTATTCCCTATACCTTTATTGTTTAAGTCTGGTTCTCTGAGTCCAAAAGTCTGGCAACCTAAAATAAAACAAATAAGAAATGTTTAGTACGTTTCTTTAATGTTAAAAAAAGTTCGTCCAGGGAGTCCGGCGACCTAAAAAAAATAAAGAAAGAAACGTTAGTACGTTTCTTCAGTATATTTAAAAAAAACTTCATCTCCCACTTCCCGCTAACTTACGTTTCAATTTTCAAGTCTGGGTTCGTCTAAGAGCTCGTCTGTTCTTTCCCTTCCTCCTTCCTTTCTCTCATCCCTTTCCTCTTTCCTTCTTTCCTCTCCTTCTCTCCTTCTCTCCTCTATCCCTTTCTCGTCCCTTCCCTTTTCCACAACGGATTTTTTGAATTACTTTGGACGCGAATTTCGGTAAAGAGAAGGGCCTAAAGATAAAAAATGGAAAGGAACATTAGTAACGTTCCCAAATAAAAAAAAATAATAAATAAGAGCTTACCTTTTGCCAATTCGCCGTAAAACAATTTTTTTTTTTAAATAAAAGAATAAAAAAAACAATTTTTTAAAGAAAAAAAATTATATTATAAAAAACGGTTAAAATTTTTTTTTTTAAAAAAAATTATTACAATATGAATGACATGTGTGACAACGATTACCTAAAATATTCGTTGTCACACATGTCACACAATTGGTCATATTATACTGCGAGTGGAAACAATGTTTAATAGTTTCTATATAT